CACTGCCCAACCAAGCACTCAAAACACCAAAAACTCTGAGAAGAGTACACACATGCGAACTGATGGCTAGATGTATTCAAGAGAGACCCGAGGACACAGCGAAACAACCACAAAAGCAAACGGAGACCAAAACAAGCATACATGGAAACCAACAAAAAAAAATCGACCCGAGTCAGTTTGCATACCGGCCTAAGCCAGTTTGTTTCAGCCTACGAAGGTGAAAAAGGCAAAATCTAATCAAACAATTTCAAATAGACTTGAAACTTGGTAGAGGAGTTTAAACACCAAGTAGAATATCTCCACAAAAAATCCGCTCAATTGGAGCAACTTGAAAAACTGGCCTGAGCCGGTTTACACAGATTTCAGCGGAATTCTCTCTAAGAAAAATTCAAAATAAATTCAAATGAGCTCCGAAAAAACTGAAATTTTGCAAAGAGGTTGCCTAGGATGCATAGAAGCTATCCCCCAAAGAAAAGAGGGTTTTCTCAAGTTTTTCCTCCAAATGGTGGATCTCCGTGTTCGTGAGGAATCTACCCAAATCACTTGGTAAAGATGTTCCTCAGATGTCCTAGCACGAATCCATCCACTCAAATCACCCTCAAACAAAGAAATCAAAATCCATCAAAAGCAAAAGAGAGGGGGTACGAGAAGGAGAAAAACCAATTCCATAACAAGAACAAGGCTTGAACTCCGACCTCAGAGGAATGATTGATTTATTTCCAAGATAGAAAATGCCTAGTGAATGATCTCGAGGTACTGCAGATCTCAACATGGCAAAAACTATAACTATGACTTAGGAAAATAACCTAGATGCAGGAAAGCTAAAATCGAAGAAATGCGCTAGTTTGGGAAACCTCCCCTCTTATTCATAGAGCTATTACACAACACCAAACTTGCTCTTAGATCCTTGGGTCTGCGCTCTGCCTCGCCCTACTCTGAGGCCGCGTGCTCTGCCTCGCCCGACCCTTGGGTCTGCGCTCTGCCTCGCCCGACCCTGAGGCCGCGTGCTCCACCTCGTCCGACCCTTGGGTTGGCGCTCTGCCTCGCTCGACCTCTAGGGGAGGACTCTGCCTCTCTCGACCCTTGGGTCTACGCTCTACCTCACCCGACCCTTGGGTTTGCGCTCCGCCTCGCTCGGCCTCTGGGGGAGGACTTTGCCTCGCCCAACTCCCAGGCCACGAGCTCTGCCTTGCCTGACGAGAACCCATACCGCCGCTAACCACTCTAGGTCCAAACGTATGGGCCTGAGTCGAAGCTCTGACACCAGGAAAGAGACCGGCACACCCCGATGTAACCCATGTCTTTGACAGGCTATACCGGAGGATTCACATCAAGAACAGCGTCGAGCGTACCGGTGATGTTCTGCCTAACCCCCGTATGAACACTGACAGGCGCGTCAGTTCATCACGATGTTCGCCAGGACAGAGTGGAGCGCCATGACCGGCATATGACACATGCACATGGCGCTAGTGATGGACAGGACCACGATGTGAAGCCGTCCCTGTTGACATCTACAGGGTCGGTGGGACCTACATGAAGGAGAAGAAGAACCCGACGATCCTGAAGGCCTTCGGCTCTCTCTCTCTTGCTCTTCTTTTTCCTCTGCTATAACCCATGCTTTCCCTTAGCCTATAAAAGGGAAAGCAGGGCATCCCATAAGGGGCATCACAACACATCAGATCGATCCAGGCCAGATCCGATCGAATCATCACGAACCCATCGAACCTCAAACCGACCAGAACACAACACAAGCACACGGCTGAGCGGCAATCGAGCTCTCGGCACCCATTCACTCTTTCCACCAGAGACTTGGGACCTGTCCCTCTCTCGCCCATTTGTAACCCCTACTATAAACTTTTGGTGCTAGTAACATGAGCAGCAGCGACGAACTGGACGTAGGGACATTCTGCCCGAACCAGTATAAACCTCATGTCCTCTAAGCACACCATCTGAGCCAGACGCGCAATATTAGAAATTTACTTGTCAGTGGTGACTCGAAACACTGACAAGAACAAGACTTGAACTCCGACCTCAGAGGAATGATTGATTTATTTCCAAGATAGAAAATGCCAAGTGATTGATCTCGATGTACTGCAGATCTCAACATGGCGAAAACTATAACTATGACTTAGGAAAAATAACCTAGATGCAAGAAAGCTAAAATGGAAGAAATGCGCTGTTTTGGGAAACCTCCCCTCTTATTCATAGAGCTATTACACAACACCAAACTTGCTCTTAGATATTTTGTATGAACCATTTAACCCAGGGGCAAAATAGTCCAAGTGGAGATCCGCACATCCGACGACCACGAGCTTTTCACGACTTTGCTTCGTATCGACGCAAGCTTCGTGATGATGCCACATGCCACCACGAAGTCCATCCCGAACTTCATCCCGGGTTTTGAGGCCTGAACCCACAAATCGTCTACCGATAGTTTTGAGGCCCAAACCACCAAAGCCAGTTGGAGAAGCATATTCACTACGCCTCCTCCATGATCTCGACATGTGTCAGCTTCCATCCTCGACCACCCGATCACCAATTCCTCTTGCGCCTCCGCTTGACTTGGTCAACTGCCATTCTAACTTGGTCAACATGGTCTACTCCTCCACATGTACACTTAGTTGTCGATGTCCTCAAGTGTCAGCCACACACGGTCAGTCTTTCGTCCCCTTGGTCCCTCAATCCAAGCCTCACGTCCGTCCTTCACTATTTCTGGTCCATCGTCATGACATGTCTCTCCTTGACCTTCTCCATAGCCATCGACTGTCTCTATGATCCACACCTACGCACCACAAGCCAGGAGACATGTTGCACAAACACCACACTCAACGCAATGGTTAGTGTCGACAGTTAGTCTCAAAACTCAATCAAAGCTTGATCATCTCTTGACAATCACTTATCATCAACTCAACACACATGGGCACATATCAACCATATGTTGGCAGATGAAGCTACCAATTTGAATTAACCATCTAACTACCTGATTTCATGGTTTGACAAGAACCAAATTATATTTTTTTGATGAAATCAAGAGGGGCAAGCCCCTACTGGACATATTAATAAAAAGGGAAGTAGACAAACTTTACGAGGCTAAAGAATTGGGATTCAAGAAATAAAAAAGGAAATAAAGAAAATTAACCAGACCAAAGAGATTAAAAACAAGATTGTTTAACCATTGAACAATGGAGGGGAAGTAACTTTTTTGCACGTACGAGGAACAGCGCAAATTCTAATTTGAGGAACCTCTTGGCATGAACCAAATTATAATCAATATACTCCACAAGAAACGTTGTGAAAAATGATATCTTCTCTTATGTATGGTTTTGACTTATCAATATACTCCGCCCCCCTGGTCCCTCGGTCCAAGCCTCACATCTGTCCTCCACCGCTTTCAGTCCATCGACACGGCACGTCTCTACTTGAATTTCTCCATAGCCGTCGACCATCTCTGTGCTCTATAGGTGCGTACACACATTCACGCTGGGGTTAGTCTCAAATTCAACCAAAACCTGATCATCTTCTAACAATCACTCATCACAGCTTGACACACACGGGCAAATATCAACCATGTGTTCGTACCATTCTTATTATGTAAAATAACCTAAAGTAATCTCTAATCTTCATTTCAATTAATCTTATATGTCATTATGAAAAATAATATAAAGTAAATCTCTATGTTTGCTTCTAGATTACCCACCTCTGCTACTACTAAAAAAACTAAAGTAACCTTTAAATCTAAGTTACCTGTGTATGTTAATGTAGAATACTTCTATATGTATTCTTCTAAAATTATGTTTGGTCTGAGATGAACAAATGTGGAGGTCTAGTGTCCTGCATTTTTGGTTCATGGGTTGGGATCATCCTAGCTTTTTGTTGAGAGAGAGCGAGAGAGAGGAGATGATATTTTCTGATATGTCAACCATGGGGCTCTGTTGTTGGCCCGTTATTAGATATCATTTGAGCCAAAACACATATATACGAGGTTGGTTCGTAAAGTTAACTACATTTTCTGCTTTGACCTCTTTTAGTGATATGGGTTCTGCCTACTTAGAGAAGTAATAGGTCATGTCAAGGATAAATTTGTGTCCCTTAGAGGGCGGAGAATTTATCGGCCCTACTACATTCGTTCCCTACTTTTCGAAAGGCCATGACATGTTGGTCGGATGCAATCATCAAACATTGTAGGTCAATAGTAACCTGTATGTCAAAGCTGGTAGTGTAGTTTTGATCCAGTTTGGTTTGTGCCACACACTCCTGTGGACTCCATTTAAGGCTTCGGTTACCCCATTCCCTATGCGGGTCTAGCTTTTTGAGTGGAAATGAACCCAAAAATCACATGACTAAATACAAAGCCCGAACAAATTTTTTTGCCAAAGTAATCTTATACTCTCTTATAAAGCAATACCCACTAGCTATTTATCTCAACATCCAAGCTATCCAACTACGCAATACACTATCCAATACAATTAAAATCCACTAAGCAAAACCCCATTATCTATTTATCTCGACATGCAAGTTGTCCAACTAGACAAAGCACTATCACATACAATTAAAATCCACTAGCACATGCAACTGCAATGTCCACAACAACAAGACACATAAGCATTTTGTTGTTCACGTCATCATACAACACAATCCACTAATCCGCAATTCCCGCAGCAACGCGCGGGGTATGCTTCTAGTTGTACTGAAAGCAGCTTCCTAAATAAATATCACATTAATTGGAGATGAAGTCATATTTCTCCAACCTTTGAAGAAAAAGTTTTCAATTATGTTTGTGCAGCATAAGAGTGCAATCATGTATAAAACTATGTCTTCATTGTAAATGTCGAACATTTGTATGATGATTCTGTTCATTTCATTCAATTAACTCTATCGGTACAAGAATAGGATGATAGACTAGTAGTATATATTGCAATAACTTTATTCTATGGCAAACCGTACGTTTGAAAGAAACATGAGGGGCACATCCTCTGGCCGATCACCAACATAAGAGTTACACGAAGGATGCAACCTCTGTGCAGTCCAAGTATGCTCCAGTCATACCTCCCTTGGGTAGGAGAGCCAGAATCAGCGCTCCTCTCGTGCCCTCCTCAACCGTGAGAACTCCGGTGTGGAAGTTCATGTCTGTGTTGACATAACCGGGATGCACACAATTTATGCATAGTGTTGGGTGCTTCTTTGCAATGATTCTCGAACAGGCATTGGCAAGAGCCTTGGACACTTTATATGCAGGGTACCCTCCTTCAACCGGCCACCCATGGGGTTCCAGTTGGCCATTCTCGAAGTCCTTGAGGAACAATTCTGACAGCTCATCTAATCTCTCTACAGATAGGTTATTGATGTTGTTGAGCTCCTTTTTAAGTTCCTCACCACTGAAAAACTGAAGCCATATAGAAGGATCAGTAGTTCTTTTAAAAGCAATGTGGTCTAACTATTAAATCGAGTTCTAGTATCTCTTTTTTGCCATTTATTCAAGGCATTACCCTGAGTAGCCCAACAATAGATGTTACATTTACAACCCTTCCATGGGCTGAGAATTGTAGGAGAGGAAGAAGTGCTTCTGTGACAATTTTGGTGCCATGGTAGTTTGTTCTCAAGACCTCCTCTGCTTGGTCGTAAGGGTCTGTGGTGTACCTCCTGATCCTTTCTAGCCTTTCCTGTTCATTCATGCCTGCAAGCTATTTCCATGCAGGGAAAATTGTTAGTCTCTTTCATTGTAGGAGGTATCAAGAAGAAAAATATACAAAAATTCTCTAAGTAAACATGTATAAATAACTGAAAGTAAAGTTGAATTGCTTATGAAGTTACAAACTAACCTCTAACTTAAAAGATTCTGGATCACTGATTTCTGTTATGGACCCGACAACTGCTTCATTGTTGACCTGAAAATAAGCAAAGCAGCAACTACCAATGATTCGTGATCAAATCCGAATCAACATCCTTCACATGTAGTGTAGTGACGTTGGAAAAGGAAATTATTAAGAAACGAAGGCAGTACCAATATATCCAGTTTGCCAAATTTCTCCCGGATAAAATCAGCGAGACGTGCAGCGCTAGAGAGATCTCCAACCACCAGTTGATGCAACAGGACGTTGGATAGCCCCTGCGCTGCAAGATTTTTGACCGCTTCTGCACCCCTCTTCTCGTCCCTTGCTGTCAATACTACCGTGACTCCTTTGGAAGCAAGTTGCCTGCATATTTCTAATCCAATTCCTCTATTCCCTCCTGTAACAACGGCAACCCTAAAAGAAAAGAAATAGATATCCTCAATTCTTTAGGGTTCACATCAAAAGACAAAAGACCTAATAATAATTTTCTCATACATACTTTTGAATTGGAATGTAAATTGCTTATACAACTATTTTCTAAATGAGAGCATATATTTAAGAAGAAAACAGAGATGCCGAAATGCTCACTCTTGTTCATATTGCCTGCATGCGTTTCCTTCCATGTATGATGGAGAGCTTATCGCCCTGTTCACTTGGCTTATAAGTCGTACTTTTTCAGTCAATGAATAGTATTTTTTTCTCACAATAAATCAGCCAACGGTACTTTCAGCCATAGCTTATCAACCAAGCGAACATAACATACGTTGTGCGAGTCGGTGTGCTTTTTCTAAAGCAATGTTAAGAGAGTTTACGGAGAGACCAGAGTTGTGAATGTATTGATGCGCCACCAGCACCAGGAGCTTAGCTATATATATAGTATAAGTACTAGAGTAGTAGTGTTCTTGCTTGCATCACCGCTCCCGGCTTTCAAAACACGTGCCCCGTTTTTCAAAACACGGGCGATGACTCGAAAGTACGGAGTACTAATGAAATGCTACACTCCTAAGTCCAAACGCCGTTTGGTAACGAAAGTCATACGGCACGACACCGGAGCAGCAAACCTTTGACTTCCAAAAATGTGACAACATGAAAATCGGGCTCTACTAATAATTTTCTGACAGCGAGAAGATATTACAAAATATTCGGTGCAACAAATTAAAAGCAGACAATTTCTTCCACGCCATCGATGAGCTCTTTACGATGAGCTTGTGCACGGACAAAACTTTTTGACCGGACAAAATTCAATCAGGTGAGAGTTTAGGATCAAGTGAGCTGAGCTTCTCTCTCCCTCGCAACCGCCGGTGACTGCCCGGTCCCGGCGTCCACCTCTGTGGCCCCGGCGGCCTCCTGGCCCCGGTGTTGCTGCTACCTGCGAGCTGCAATTAAGGACCGGCGGTGCAAGGTCACTCAATATTGTGACCGCATCTTCGGTGATCCCAACACTTCTACATCCGCTGCACCGGATCATAGCGGACCTTTTTGTTTCAAAAAAAAAAAGGAACACAAGCTAGTGATACAAACTTAGACAACAAACACTAGGTAGACAAATGTATCACAAGTTCTTACATATGAAACAACTTTGATTAATCGACTAATATTATTGCAGTTCTAAAGACTTGGCTAGGCATCGAAAACAACTGACACGGCTGCACAGTTCAGGCCCAGATCCCCAATGTCGCACCAACATCGTCATGTATCGCCTCTAATGCGCGTTTGGCGAATCCCATGATTTGGATCGCCTTCTTCTCTTCTGCATGCCCTCCGCCACGCGGGACTGATCCACAGAACACGAAGAGAGACACGACGCTTCGCTTGCAGCCGAACTCCTTGGCGACCATGGTGCCGTCAGGGAATCGAATCCATTCTTAGCTTGCACTCTTCTCACCTTCCATGGGCTCGTCGTCATCTACCATCTTGTTAGTCTCTCTCACTTACGAGCAGACCCCACTCGTCAGCCTCACGGCCTGCTTCTTCTTTCTCTCGCAGCAGCTCTTCCTCTTGCTTGGGGCTCGCTGGCGGCCGAGAAGGAAAGGGCGACGCCACGGCGGAGCTTTCACCCATGCCTGTGCGGCGATGGCGGATACTACGCACGCCCCATCCACGAGCGCCGCCCCTACTCCCTTGGCTTCCTTCACAGGCTTCCCCGTCCTCTTCACTCCTCCGCCGAGCGTAGAGCCGTAGAAGGCCATGTAGCAGGTACCGATGGTCTGGATGCCACCGCAGTGACGCCTCTGGGAGCGGGACAACACACGTAGTCGCGGAGAATGAGCCGCGTCAGCGGAGCAGAGCTCATGCTAGCCCACGCGGCACGAATCTCGTGCTCGCCCGCGCGGCGGAGTGGAGCGCCTGCTCGCCCTGTCCTTCGGCGTCCTCCACGCTCTCCCTGCACCCTTCGGCGCCCTCCGTGCCGCGCTCTCCCCGCGCCCATCGTGCCCCAGCTCGCTGTCGACGATGACGACAGCCAAACTCTTCACATGATGGGGAAAAGAAGGGAAAGAATGAACGGGTACCAACATAATCAGTGGTAGGTGGATAATTTTCGCGAAAGAGTGAAATGCTCTATAAGTCTCATAAAGTTGTCTGTATGTACTATATAGGTTCACAAAGTTTCTAAATGACATTTTTTTTTTGTCCTGAAGTTAGTTCGGGTCTCGTCCAGGTCCAAACGGGCCCTTACCCAACCCGTTAGCTAACGTGACATGCTGACTCAGCGCTTACGTGGACCTGACCGGTGGAATCCACATGTCAGACACAAGCTTATTTAAAAAAAATCGTATTTTTTATATGATCTCTGATGAAGATGATTTTTATATGAAAGTTGTAGCTCTCGATGAGATCTACAACTTTTTACATTTTAGGCTTTGTTCGGATATTCTATTTTTTCATTCTCAAAATTTTCTTTCACAAAATCGAACAACAATACTTTTCACCAAGACTTATCAGTAAAATTTCATCAAGTATATTAATATTCTATTGGACATTGTCAAAATGCAAAATAATATAAAGTTTCATCAGCATATTAATCGCATACTAGAGCATGTCGTCTTAGAAAAATCATCTCTTCCGTTTATGGCGACGCATAAAGATACTTTGCATATACAAATTGTAGCTGTCGATGAGATCTACGAAATTATAGTTTTAGTTTTTATCATTTGAGGTCGCTAAAATGGTTAAAAATTAATATAAAATTTTAGATCAAACAATGAAAAAAAGAAGTACAAGAGAAAAATTCCCGAAAGTATCGAGAAGTAGCCGAACATGCGGAACCAGTACCAAAACATGCAGGACCGGCACCTGCATCTATAAATTTTATGAAATTTTTAGTTATTACTAGATATATGCCCGTGCGTTGTCGGAGTCACAAATTAAACGAGGCAATGAGCTGACTCTTAGTATTTTTCTATAGGCATAAATGTACGTATACGGTCGTATTTGTTCAATTATCTTGTAAGCGAAAATGAGTCGCTGTGCTGACGTCACATATCCTCACGTCAACGTGGCCATGCATGGATGCCGGCTACCAGCCCACCACGCACCAGGTCACCAGCGCCTAGTACTTGCCGAGCTTGTTGCTGGAGGCTACTACGCACGAGGTCATATGTTGTTGGACCTGGATGTTTCGTCAGAGGAGTTAATGCGGAGCAGGGCGGCGGTGAAGGTGGTGCTGTGCCTTGAAGCGATGCGCGTTGATGAGGCGCGACGAGTGAGCTATCGCAGGTGCTGCCGTGGAGGTGGTTCGTGGAGCGTGCCATGGAGATCATGAACTCGAACACCAGGATGCGCTCGTCGCAGAAGCCTAGCAGTCACCAGGTTGCGGTGGTGGATACGTACATCATCGAAGTCCTCTTTGAACTCGTATTAGATTTGATGGAGTGGGCAAACAAAGCGGGGCGAGCAGGGCGATTAGTTTGCGGGTGGGGCGATGAGCGGGACAATACGACGATAACAATAGGTTTTAGGTGTAGATAGATAGAGTAGAGATAGAGATATATCTTCTTTTATTAGTCTGCTATATTTTTTTAAAAAAGGGAATATATTAATATTTCAACTTCTGCATCGACCAATGCATATAGCTGTTTTTTATTACAAACACAACCACTGCGGTCCACGCAATATCAAACACAAAGTTTTGATCCAAAGTGAATAAAGGAAAAGCTTGTAAACTCAACATCTATAGAGCAATTCTATTACTAAATCTTCAACCGTGTCTTGCAAACACCTCCATCGCGATTGTCTCAATATTTCTGCATCCCATCTTCATCATTTGGCGATCCTCCTCCTTCCAAAGTAGGGACCAGGACCTGGTCTAGTGGGTCCCCCTAAAGATAATCTGCAAATAAGATGGTGCTACGGCCTTATCAAAAATTATACCATTCCGGGTTAACCAAATCACCCAACAAATTGCACTTGCACCCACAAGAATCTTAGATTTCAGTTTCCTATTTATCCTATCTAACCAGCCCGTAAACAAATTGTGAACGCTAGTTGGAGGTAATAAATTAAAGAAAACATGAACAGTCGCCACATGAATTTAGCAAAATGACAGTCAAAG